AGTAAAATGGGTACCTGGGTGTTAGTCGACTAGTGTGGGTGGCATCCTGGGGACAAACTTGACCTAATTTGCGGGAAATGCTCAGTATAACAAAGGGTTTTCTATATAGTAGTATGTCAGTGATGTCAACTATGGTCTGTATACCTTGTACATGTACTGGTAGTAATTATTATTCCTAATTTATCTTAAGATTCCCAAGAGGTATCCCCTCAGGGAAGGTTCCTTGATGTTGGTGAGGGGCTCTTGATTTAGGGAATTGGATCTGTGCTCCAGTTCCCCGAATTAAGCCTGAATCCCTTCCACATCCCGCCCCCCAGGCGCTGTATAATTATCCGGGTTTAGCGCTTCCCCTTGATTATAACAATAATAATAATAATAATAATAATAATAATAATAATAATAATAATAATGATAATTCGCAAGAGGTAAAGCTCTGTTGGAAGTTACATTATACTTAACATAGTAATAAACACTGCCCTGACAAGCGTACAAGCATTCAAGAGGAAACTCGCCAAGCATCTTCACAAAGTGCCGGTGGGTCAGCAAACCGCCAGCGTCAACAACCTGGTCGATCACGCAAGCTTGGTCCAGGGCTGGGGGGGGCTTTAGTAGGAAAACTCTCGAAACCTTTCAAATGTGTATCAAAGGTAAGGTCCGCCAAGCTGTGGTGGATATGTGGGCCAACAGTAACAGCCTGGTCGATCAGGCAAGCACCAGACAAGCCTGGTCCAAGGCCGGACTCCAGTCAGCTAACAACCAGGTGCCTACTTTCTGCTGGGTGAACAGGTGCAATGAAACATGCCCAAAGTTTCTACTCATCCCGGGTTCGAACCCGGATTCTTCAGTTGTGATAGGATGGATAACGAGAACCCTCAAAATAGAGAGATGCCAAGCCAATGATAGTTCTACTCTTTTATTCACTTGTTCTACGTTAGAATACTGCTGTACACTATTGTAAGATAATGTACAGAGAATCTTCATTGTACGTATTAGTTGTCGGGCACCGAAATTACTGGGAACGCTTTTAGTACCTTATATATGCTATCCCTGTTCACCTGGCAGTAAGTAGGTACCTGAGTGTTAGTTGACTGTTGTGGGTGGCATCCTGCAGGGATGTAGTAGTATGTGACTCTCACGAAATCGTATGACACGATTGCAAACCATACCACAGGCGGGGTTAGAACCCGCGATCAGTCTCAAAACTCCAGACCGTCGCGTTAGCCACTGCATTTGTGGTCACAGTGGTGCTTATGTTAACCTTCCTATGGTGTATAAATATACCTAGCTGGATGAATCTTATTGTGGCTAGCTGGCCCAGTGGCTATCGCGACGGTCTGGAGTTTTGAGACTCTGATCGGGGGTTCTAACCCCGCCCGTGGTATGGTTTGCAGTAGTATACTTAGAAGACAAGGCTCTGAAATGCGCTGAAGGTAACTTTTTGCCTGTAAAACTGATGTGTGAAAAGTATCTTGACCTGTTTGCCTTATGACGAAGACGATAAAGATACATTATAATTTAAAAATGGAATATACCAGGAGGATTGGTCCTAAATCTGCACAGAGAAATCACTGCCTAGGGAAACAAGAGGCTCGACAACCTGTACATACTAATCCCAATGAAAACCAAAGAAGCCTTGAGTACTTAAGAGTTAACACATTATGTTTAAGGGGTCCAGGACTCCTCAACATCTTCCCATTATACACAAGAGGGATTACTAACACATCCTTTGACTGTCTTCAGCACATAACTTGATAAGTTCCTCAAGTCAGTTCCTTATCAGCCAGGTTGTCATTCGCAAGTTGGACTGCGTGCTGCCAGTAGTAACAGCCTTGTCGATCAGACCTTGATCCACCTGGAGGTCTGGTCTTCAACCGTGCCGCGGGGGCGTTGACCCCTTTTAACATCCTTGAGCCACGAGCCACCTACTCAGCTTAAATGCTGGCTGTCAGCACCTAGTTAGCGTAATTACCAGCTGTCATCATACTGCTGGCATCTGCTTACACTGGCTGTCATCAATGGCTTATTTACATCTGATATCTGGCCACCTATGTATTGCTCAGAGCCATTTATGACTTGATAATGGTCAAGGACAGAGCGAAACGTTTGTTAATGACATAAGCGGTTTATGGCAATTTATTGAGACGTTTCACCCAGCGAGACCAGTTGATTGTCCCTAGTGGACGAAACGTCTTCTCAGTGTTATAAACCGTATATTCTATTAACATGTCAGTATAGTCTACCACTGATATAAGGAGTGAACTGTGGTCTAAAGTTTCCTCTCGGAAATATCGGTAATTTCTAAATTGTTCCTGCCACGGTACTGTGACTTTAATTCTTCACTTGCTCTGCTACACTGTTTTAAATTTAATTGATAATAGTAGAGGTGGTAGTTAATTCCCAAAAGCAGGTCAGAAATGTTAAGGAAACTCTCTCAACCCATCAAAGTAATGTAAAAACGAGGCCTCTTGGTGGCAAACTAACAAGGATGGTTATTGGCAACGTTTCGCCCACTGTGTGAACGAAACGTCAATAAAGGTTCCAAATAACTGTACGTGGGTCTCGCATACCTGCCATGGGACTTTCATATCAAGAAAGGGTATCGGTATTTACACGGCACTTACGTCAACCTATTTGTTATAATCCTGGGGTAATGCTAAACCCACAGGGGTCATGCAACGCCTGGGTGGCATGTGAAATAATCAGGTTTGATCCAAAGACAGAAGACGGTAGCAGCAATGCTATCGAAGCCTCTTCCTTCCCTCCCTGAAGGTCAACTCATCTGTATGTTAGTCGTGTTTCAGTCACCACAGCTCCGTCTATCAAGCCAGCTGTGCATTTCGTGAGATTTAATCTCACTGTGACAATAACAATCATTACTAGGAACATACATCACAGCATAGCCACTAAGAAGACGTGTAAACACAAATTCTCTAACATTATTTACAGTTATGGGAATGTTACCATGGTTTGTGATTCAGGGTACGATTGTTGGGGTCTTGCGTTGTATATTTTGAGTAAATATGGAGTGTGATACAGGTATGGGGGACGTTGTTGTATGGTACTGTAGTGGTGTAGGGGAGTGTTATTGGCCTAATATAATATTGTAGACGTAATATCGAGGTTACACAGGTATGGTTGAGTGCAGTGGAGTCGGGAGTTAGGTGGGGTTGATGTCTTGCCTCCTAAATTACGACCAATATTTGGTGTAGCACATGTATGGGGAGATCAATGCACTGGAACGTAGTGGGAAAGAGGCGAGGTGGAATGTTGATATGACCTTCCCAATAATATAGACTTAATATCGAGGTTACACAGGTATGGTTGAGTGTACTGGAGTGGGGGTGTAGGGTAGTGTTGCTGTCCTAACTCCTAAACCAGCCTTGATATCTAGTGCAGCACACATCAGAGGGGGATAAACGTATGGGAATGCAGGTAGGGACGAAGGTGGAAGTGTAGGGGGGCGGGGAATGTGGTTGGGGTGAACTACACTAGCCACAACACCTCAAGTTTTGATTCACCAGACAGAGTACTTGACTGTTGCCAACACACACTAACCTTACTCAACACCTTTACCTCTTCTTTAACCCTCTCATCTTCCCCCTACACCTCCCCTCTCATCCCAGCATCCCTCTCACTCCACATAGGTGCTCTGGAGTGCCAATGACGCCAGTAAAATAAAAATATCATAACCTAAGAAAGGTAACTCTTCAGGGAGCACCTAAGAAAACATTGGCGGGGTACATATTTTCGCGACTAACCTACAACAGGTGTCTGCACATTGGCCGGTGTCCTGTTTACCAACCCACTAAGTCAATTTACCTACAATCACAACCATATACTTCCAACTGACAATACTAATGAACATAACCCTAAAAAAATTAAATTTGTTGCAGGTCTGATTAAATATTTTCCATAAAGTTGGGCATCTCATAATTTACAAATATTGACAAGGATGGAGTTAAACATAAATATTTATGTGGTATTCCACAAAGACCTTGCGCTATATGGTGTCACGAAATGTCTAATTTCTGAATATCTAGCCATTTACGCACCGACCCCTTCCAGCCCTCCATTTATCGGCGTTCTCTTCCTCCATTTCTCTCGCCTCCCTCCTCCGTCCCCTGATCTAGTTTCGATTTTCTCCCTATTTCTCGTCTGTTGCTGCGCACAACGGCTTCTTTCACTTACCTTCTGATGCTCTGAGGAATTTTGCATTGATTTCACTACTACGTCATGGCGAACACAAATAAAATCACTTAATTTTCCGAGTCTGTCCCACTCACCTTCTTTCTTGTTCGCTTTCCTCGTCTTCCACAGGGACAGATAGACGAGAGAAAAGCTGGAGCATCCTGCCTCTTTCTTCTCTTTTTCTACTTCCTTACTTCCCTATGTTCCAATAATGTTCCACGCATCCATTCAGCGAGATTTCGGAGAAAATTATTTGTTTTTTTAAGATTTTACTTAATAAAATAAAGTGTGCATAAAAGATTTAATGTTCTCTTAAAATTAAAATTGATTTCTTAGCATTAAAAGAATTAAATTAAGGCATGAAGAGCATAGATTGAAGTATTAAATGTCACCAGTCGAAAATGCATTGAATTTCGTTTTCTGTATAGTCGTTAAGATACCAATGATATATTAATTGTTATTTTATTTCCTTTCTCTTGGCGAAACTGTTTTACTTCCACCAATAAATATTAAACAAACAAATAATCTAAGTATTACCATACTCAAATATTAAATATTAATATTAAATCTTGATTATATCTGTAAAAATAATTAAGTTGGATGACGGTTTATGGTAGTTGTTGCTGCGGGTAGCATAGCCTTCCATATTTAAAACTATATTTTATTTGTTTTTAAACTAGTTTCTCGATTATATTTGCCGAAAAACCTGGAAATAAATAACATAGAATAACAGAAAGATGATAATTAAGGTCAGCAGTGGAGTGGAAGAGCACAGGAGGGAATAATAAGATAAGAGTGTAGAGTTGCCATGTATGGCGGGCGGGTGGCAGTGGGTGGCGGCCCGACAGAGATGTGAGTGTGCGCTAGAATTGTATATGGCGAGGGCAGGGGAAGTGTACCATGCTCAGGATGATCACCTCCACTTAAGGTAGGAACACACACATGCGCTTGCCACACCTGCCAGTATTAACTACAAGTATTACTCCCTTATTTACCCGAGGTAACCATCAGTGCACCACATCGACTCTCTCACACAAGCTTAATTTTCTCAAATTTTGCCAAAATGGCGGATATGTGCATGTTGAAACCTATTGTTTTTACATTATACATAAATAATGTGGATATATACTGAGAGTGAAATGGCATTCAGCGTTTATAAGAACAATTAAGTGGAAATAAGTATCTGATGTGAGCGCTTAATTGTCGGACCTGGAAATCGTGGGGGTGGAGATTTAACGGTGCCTAAACGTGACAAACTTACCCCCCCTAGGCCACATCCCTTCATAGTGTAACAAATATATTTGTGACTTCTACCACTGATAATTAAACATATATCAAGAAAACTATTAAACGGGAAAGAAAGTCGATGAATCTGTATTGATTTAGAAATGTGAAGTACAAAAAGAAGGAATAATTAAAGGTAGAAGTTGTGTGAGTGGAAGTATCTGGCAAGATGTGCATTGTGGGTGCGGGACAGTCGGCGCTGAGGCTTCACTTACCATGTGGACACCGAGGAGTGAGGGTCGTGGCTGCTCCTTGTAGCATTGCCTTTAAGTGATGGTGTGAAGTGACAATACTACCTTGCGCTCTCAGATAACGTGTTGTGACAATGTGCTGGTGAACGTTGTGTCTTAACCAACAAGGACCACCAACGGTGAGATCTAACATTCTTTATATTTTCAAAATTTTTGTGAAAATAAATTTAGTGTGCATTATATATATATATATATATATATATATATATATATATATATATATATATATATATATATATATATATATATATATATATAATCAAAGGGATGCCTTAATTTTGGTGAAGTGCTCTTGATCCAAGGAGTTCAAGCTACCCGCCCTTTGATCAAACCTAATAACCCATTACCCCAGGCATTGTATATCCCTTACGGTTTTAACGCTTCTCCGTGAATATGTCTTAAAGATTATTCAGACTGGACCATAAATCTCATTTTGGACTCGATAAACCCGTAAGGGTCATATAGCTCCTTAGGAATGGTGGGTAATAACGTTGGAGCCAAGGTAAGGTAGCTCCCATGCCTTGGATCACGCAGCGGTCAGCGGCCATCCGGCCAACTCCCTTGAAGGGTGTGGGTGGGTGGTGCAGTAGGCCTATGAGGCTGTGTGCGCTGGGAGGAGTCGGCCTATTGTCTCACTGCACGCTATTTTTGTCCAGGAAAATTTGATACGTCGTCAGTGTGCTGTTACACTGTTCTCTGTGATAGTTACACAGTGGTAACAGCAGTGTGCTGGTACACTGTTCTCTGTGATAGTTACACAGTGGAAAACAGCAGTGTGCTGTTACACTGTTCTCTGTGATAGTTACACAGTGGTAACAGCAGTGTGCTGTTACACTGTTCTCTGTGATAGTTACACAGTGGTAACAGCAGTGTGCTGTTACACTGTTCTCTGTGATAGTTACACAGTGGTAACAGCAGTGTGCTGTACACTTCTCTCTGTGATAGTTACACAGTGGTAACAGCAGTGTGCTGTTACACTGTTCTCTGTGATAGTTACACAGTGGTAACAGCAGTGTGCTGTTACACTGTTCTGTGATAGTTGCACAGTGGTAACAGCAGTGTGTTGTTACACTGTTCTCTGTGATAGTTACACAGTGGTAACAGCAGTGTGCTGTTACACTGTTCTCTGTGATAGTTATACAGTGGTAACAGCAGTGTGCTGTTACACTGTTCTCTGTGATAGTTACATAGTGGTAACAGCAGTGTGCTGTTGCACTGTTCTCTGTGATAGTTACACAGTGGTAACAGCATTGTACTGTTACACTTCTGTGATAGTTACACAGTGGTAACAGCAGTGTGCTGTTACACCGTTCTCTGTGATAGTTACACAGTGGTAACAGCAGTGTGCTGTTACACTGTTCTCTCTGATAGTTACACAGTGGTAACAGCAGTGTGCTGTTACACTGTTCTCTCTGATAGTTACATAGTGGTAACAACAGTGTGCTGTTACACTGTTCTCTGTGATAGTTATACAGTGGTAACAGCAGTGTACTGTTACACTTTTCTCTGTGATAGTTAACACTGGTAACAGCAGTGTGCTGTTACACTGTTCTGTGATAGTTACACAGTGGTAACAGCATTGTGCTGCTACACCGTTCTAAAAGAACATAAAGAACATAAAAACGAAGGAACACTGCAGAAGGCCTACTGGCCCATGCGAGGCAGGTCCAAGTCCCTACCGGCTTAAGCCAATGCACCCAACCTAGTCAGGTCAGGTCACACTGACTTAAGGGAGGAACACGGCAACCGACCTGTTAGCACAAGCTATCAGGTCTAACTCACACCCACCCACATCTACTCATGTATTTATCCAACCTATTTTTAAAGCTACACAACGTTCTGGCCCTTATAACGTATTTGGGGAGTTTGTTCCACTCATCCACAACTCTATTACCAAACCAGTACTTTCCTATATCCCTCCTGAATCTGAATTTTTCCAACTTAAAACCATTGCTGCGAGTCCTGTCTAGGCTAGATATTTTCAGCACACTATTTACATCCCCTTTATTTATTCCTGTCTTTCCACTTATAAACCTCAATCATATCCCCCCTAATTCTACGTCTTTCTAGAGAGTGCAGTTTCAGGGCCCTTAGTCTATCCTCATAGGGAAGGTTTCTGATACATGGGATCATCTTTGTCATCCTCCTTTGTACATTTTCCAGAGAATTTATATCCATTCTGTAATACGGTGACCAAAACTGTGCAGCATAATCTAAATGAGGCCTAACCAAGGATGTATAGAGTTGAAGAACAACCTGAGGACTCCTATTATTTATGCTTCTTGATATGAAGCCAAGGATTCTATTAGCTTTATTGCGAACACTTATGCACTGTTGTCTTGGTTTCAGCACTGTTGTCTTGGTTTCAGGCACTGTTGTCTTGGTTTCAGGCACTGTTGTCTTGGTTTCAGGCACTGTTGTCTTGGTTTCAGGCACTGTTGTTACACAGTGGTAACAGCAGTGTGCTGTTACACTGTTCTCTGTGATAGTTACACAGTGGTAACAGCAGTGTGCTGTTACACTGTTCTGTGATAGTTACACAGTGGTAACAGCATTGTGCTGCTAAAAACCGTTCTCTGTGATATTTTACACAGTGGTAACAGCAGTGTGCTGTTACACTGTTCTCTGTGATAGTTACACAGTGGTAACAGCAGTGTGCTGTTACACTGTTTTCTGTGATAGTTACACAGTGGTAACAGCAGTGTGCTGCTACACCGTTCTCTGTGATAGTTACACAGTGGTAACAGCAGTGTACTGTTACACTTTTCTCTGTGATAGTTAACACTGGTAACAGCAGTGTGCTGTTACACTGTTCTGTGATGGTTACACAGCGGTAACAGCAGTGTGCTGTTACACTGTTCTCTGTGATAGTTACACAGCGGTAACAGCAGTGTGCTGTTACACTGTTCTCTGTGATAGTTACACAGTGGTAACAGCAGTGTGCTGTTACACTGTTCTCTGTGATAGTTATACAGTGGTAACAGCAGTGTGCTGTTACACTGTTCTCTGTGATAGTTACACAGTGGTAACAGCAGTGTGCTGTTACACTGTTCTCTGTGATAGTTACACAGCGGTAACAGCAGTGTGCTGTTACACTGTTCTCTGTGATAGTTACACAGTGGTAACAGCAGTGTGCTGTTACACTGTTCTGTGATGGTTACACAGTGGTAACAGCAGTGTGCTGTTACACTGTTCTGTGATGGTTACACAGTGGTAACAGCAGTGTGCTGTTACACTGTTCTCTGTGATAGTTACACAGTGGTAACAGCAGTGTGCTGTTACACTGTTTTTCTGTGATAGTTACACAGTGGTAACAGCAGTGTGCTGTTACACTGTTCTCTGTGATAGTTACACAGTGGTAACAGCAGTGTGCTGTTACACTGTTTTCTGTGATAGTTACACAGTGGTAACAGCAGTGTGCTGTTACACTGTTCTCTGTGATAGTTACACAGTGGTAACAGCAGTGTGCTGTTACACTGTTCTGTGATGGTTACACAGCGGTAACAGCAGTGTGCTGTTACACTGTTCTCTGTGATAGTTACACAGTGGTAACAGCAGTGTGCTGTTACACTGCTCTCTGTGATAGTTACACAGTGGTAACAGCAGTGTGCTGTTACACTGTTCTCTGTGATAGTTACACAGTGGTAACAGCAGTGTGCTGTTACACTGTTCTCTGTGATAGTTACACAGTGGTAACAGCAGTGTGCTGTTACACTGCTCTCTGTGATAGTTACACAGTGGTAACAGCAGTGTGCTGTACACTGCTCTCTGTGATAGTTACACAGCGGTAACAGCAGTGTGCTGTTACACTGTTCTCTGTGATAGTTGCAGTGGGAACAAAAGCTAGCTATTTACCAGTCATATTCTGACAATGTTTCGCTCATTTAAAACGTAAGTAAGTATAAGTTAGGACCCCAAAGGAAATAAGTCACTCTGACTTAGTTATCCCAGGTATTTTACACATATACTGCTATGTATGATAATCTAACTGTATTTGTGTATACCGAAAGTGTGTAAATAAGGCGAGTACATCACTTGGATATTACTGAAACGTTTCGCACTGCCAACTTTGTCAATCTGCTTAGAGCGTCAAACTTCCCAATGAGCGAAATGTTTTCCTGATATCCTGGTGTTGAAATCTTGACAGGAATCTATGCATGTGTACCACCGGATTTTTTGGAGAGACGTTTCAGCCGTTTTTGGATGCTGGTTAGGTTTTTCTCGATCGAAGCCTGTTGAGCAGACAAAACGTTTCTTCATTAATGATACCCAGCTGTTGCACGTTTTGCTTGTGGGTATTGTACACTATTGTGGTTATGTTAGGCTAGCTTAAGTGAAGTTAGGTACGGATATTGGATATATATATATATATATATATATATATATATATATA